TACCTGGCCATGGGGGAGAGAGGCTGATGGCAGAAGCAGTGATGAGCCAGATACACACACACACACGCGCACACACACACACAAAAAAAAAAAAAAAAAAAAAAAATCACACCCTTGGGTTGTGACAGTACCCTAGGAACCCTATAAGGGCACAGGAGCAGGTTATCCAAATGAAAATAGATAGGAAGTCCAGCAAGAGAGACTGGTCTGGCAAAACAACCCCCTCCTGCAAGCTTCAGCTCAAAAAGGAAATCTTACAAAAAAAAAAGTGGAAAAAACTATCATGTTACCAAGTCCAACTACAAAGAGTATTTATATGCAGTTAGAGAATAGGGAAAACAAGGCACAAGTAGAGCTGCATTTAGCAAGGAACAAGAGACCAAGAACCCCCCCGAAAGTATTCTATAAGCATAGAAAAAGGAAAACCATGGGAAGCAGAGGCCACTTAGTAAATTGGGAGGATGATCTAGTAACACAAGCTAAAGTATTTAATGTTTGGGTTTGTTTGTTTTTACACTTCAGTTTTCACAAATGAGAGGCCAGCAGTGAGATTAGGAGCACAGTAGGCAGCACAAATAGGTGGAGAACAGCTCAGTTTGTTCAGAGAAACTAGAGGTTAAAGTACCCAGGACTGAATGAGGTGCATCTTAGATTACTGAAGGAATTTGCTGTGGTAACTGTAAAGTGTCAGGCTATTCTTTGAGAATTCATAGAGGTCAAGTGAAGTTCTGGATGACTGGAAAAGGGTAAACACAGTGGCCCACCTTTAAGAAAGGGAAGGAGGATATACAGGAGTTATAGTCCGATAAGTTTAACCTTGATACCTGGAAACATTACAGAGTATGTCAACAAGGGATCCATTTCTAAGCACAAAGAGAACAAGGTTGTCAAGAACAGCCAACATCAATTCGAAGCTTCATCATGCCTGACCAACCTGATTTTCTTTTATAAGAAAAAGTGATCAGCTGTAGAGATTAGGGCAGAAGGACAAGGAAGGAAGAAGAAAAAAAAAAAAAAAAAAAAAAAAAAACCACACAATGGGTGTAATAACCCTTGATTTTAGCGAGGACTGACAGCATCTCCCATAACATTAGTGTCTTAAGAAGCTAAGGAAATACAGACTAAAAGTGGATACTTAACTGGCTGGAACAGATGGCCAGATGTCTGAAGCAGGGGCAGGGGGGTCCCAGGGTTTGTCCTAGATGCAGAACCATTTAATAAAACTTCATTAATTAACTTGAGGATGGGACTAAGACATACACTTTACAGATCTATGGATAAACCAAGTTGGATGGAGCTGCAAACACCCTGGAAGACAGCATTAGGGTTCCAAATAACCTTGATAAAAAACTAGAGAAATGGTCCAAAGAAGTCAAAATGGAATTGAATAAATGCAAACTCTTCCATCTAGGGCAGAACAATCAGATGTACTCATATTGGCACATTGAAAGTGGAGAGTGTGCGGGCCGGGCGCGAGCCAGGCCCTTTTTCATGCTCTGCGTGGGCTGTGGCCAGCAGCACGGGCACGCGGGGTCGGAGAGGGCGCGCGACAAGCTAGAATTAGGCACAGACTCGTAGCAGTAGATTTAAAGATTGTTTACTTACACCGAAGATGGTTGCGGTGCAGGCTGGAAAACTTGCTAGAGTTGCGGTTACAGACAAAAACAACACGAACGGTCATGTGGAGTTTGCTAGGCTCCACGGAAACAGAGCTCCGGATGCTCTGGACAAGCACGCCACCAAAATAGAACTTTGTAGATACATCTTATAAAATTTGTCGCTCAAAGACGGGAAGAGGTGGGCGATGGATCAGGTCGCCAAGCTCCTCTGAATCTCACACAGGGTCTCTATTACCCTGCTGTGTACCTAGAGTCTCCACAAGATGAATGTGGAATCTTCTTCGGCTTGGGCGGAAACCGCTCAAGCCTCTTATACGGCTAGCAGGGCCACCGTTTGCCGCCCACGGGGCAGGCCAATCGTTAGCCGCCACGTGGGAATAAATTTAGAACTAGCCAATAGCGGGACAAATTTGCATGCAGGTGGCAGGAACTCTTTTGCACCGTGCATTTCTCTTGCAACTTGAGGAATGCACCCTGCAAAGGAAGCTGCAAATAGGCGGGAAACTCTTCCTTGCACCGTCTCCTCTGCAGCAGAAAACTCTACCGTGCAACGAAGCTGTAATTTGGCAGGGATAATTCTAGTGCCGAAGCGCACACAAAATCATACCTTTGGGTTATGACAGAGAGATCATGAACATCTGCATACACATGACTAGAGAACAACTTGCCACTCTGCAA